TATATATATAAAGAAAAAAAAAACAATAGCCAAAGGGAGCCTCTATCCTAAAAAAAAAAAGGAGCAAATATATATAAGAGAAAATTCAGTCCGGTTAACTACAAAGTCGCGCTGAAGTTCCAAAAAAAAAAAAAGTAAGAAATAGAAAAAAAAAATCCAAGCCTCAATTTGACATCCCTTTAAAAAATGCCGCTCATACAGTTTTGTCAAAGAAAAATCTCACAGATTTCTTCTTATATTCAGAGTGTCCTTTCAAAACTCAGCTAATTAGCAAAAAAAATGTTTCTTACCCAGCCGACATACTTTCACTCTCAGCTCTTCCTTACCGGAGCTGTCCCGACTTCAGCAGCTATGGAGGCTGCCTCTCCGCCGCCAGCAATAGGACTTCTTCCGGATCGAACCAGGGACTTTGCGATGTCCCTGGGATCCAGGAAATGTGCCCTACACGGTCACCGTCTCTACGGGACGGTTTAGGTCCGTTAGGACCGACCAGGGGCGAAAATATCAGCTGTTATCTCGGAGCCCCGAGATTACAGCTGTATCGCCGAAACGAAGCTCCGTCTTCTCCTTCCACACAGGTATGACTCTTATTCACCAGTGATCTGCTGGGGGAAGAGGGTTGGGGCACACTTGTGGCACTTCCACTAGTTCAGACTAGTTGTTCTCTCTCTTCTGGCAGTGCTTATGGAGATGGAGTTGCCCACTCTAGATAAGCAGACTGCCTCCTGCTGTAACTTTTGCAAATGAAAAGCCTTTTTCTTTTCCTGAAAATCCCTTTGCACCTCCCTCTTCTGCCAGAAGCGTAATATTTTGACTGTTGTGCACCAGAATAACCGGCCCCTGACACACCTAAATTCTGCATCCATGAAAATGAACCTCTATAACCTGTCATGCAATATGCAGAAGTCCATTCCCAAGTGGAAAAATCCCATTCTGCAAATCAGGAGAAAAGAGGCAAAAAACACTGGTCACATAAGGAAACCACTCTAAACTTCACCAGCCCCCCCCTTTTTTCCCTTGTCTCATGATGGCTAGAATCAATTTCTATTTATCCCATTTGTTTAGAGAGTCACTTTTATCTTGATAATTTGACGTACGTTGTCACACATAGCATTACTCTTCCATACAGGTAATCCTCACAACCACAATTCAGCCCAATAGTTCCATTGCTAAGCAAGACGGCGGTTAAATGAATTTTGCCCCCCTGCAGCTGTTAGCTTAGTAACATAGTTGTCCCAAAGGTGCTTTTTCAACTGGACTTTCTGGTTTTTCTTTGAAGATGTTGGATGAGAAGCGAAACGTCTTCAAAGAAAACCAAGAAAGTCCAGTTGCCTCTTGAAAAAGCATCTTTGGAACAACCAGGGCCAGGATGACTGAGAATCTCCATGGATACTTTGTATCATGATTGTTAGGTGGATCTGGCTTCCCCATTGGCTTTACTTGTTAGAAAGCTGCAAAAAGTGTCACATGACCCTGGAACACTGCAACCGTCATAAGTATACGCCAGTTTCCAAGGGTCTGAGTTTTGGTCACATGACCACAGATCATGGATAAGTCACCTTTTTCAGTGGTGGTAGAACTTCAAACAGTTCCAAAATGAATAGTTGCATGTTGAGGATTATCTGTATTTCCTGGAAATCTTAACATATACAAGGTCAAGAATGTCATTTTTATTCACAGCATCACACAAAGACTGATAATGACAAGTTTCAGTTTTGAGCTTTAGCTCTGCAGATCCTAAAATCTCAGAATTTGGAGGCATCATTTAATCATGAAGCTGAATCTTTTGCTTCACAAATGATGGTTGTCCGGCCTGAACACAAACACTGGGGAATAAGAAAGAGCATGCCATTTTGTTGGGTAATTGGTTTCCTGCCAGATTTGTTCTTTCTGTTATTATACTTTTTCTACTTCTTTATTGAAAACTGCCTTCCTGCAACTTAAACTGATGCATGTCCTGTTCTAACATGGAGTATAACAAAAATCTTGACCTGTAGGATTTCCTTTCAGATAATTGAAGAGCGGCCATCATTTTACTCCCAAGTCTTGTCTCTGAAAGCAAAACATTTCCAGTTTCTTTACTAGCCATCTATCAGAGAACTTAATTTCTGGTTTTCTGTATAGTTTTCTGTGAACTGTTTCCAGTTTCTCCAAAATTTTCTTAAATATGGTGCTCAGACCTGGGCGTCATTTTCTAGGTTGAGGTCTGAACAAGTAGAATAAAATACTCTTCTTAGTGTGGGATCCACCTCTGCGGCATCCCGTGGGTCAGAGGGTCACCGGCATCTTGCCCCAACATCTCCAGCAAAGGAGAGTCTGCGACCTCCTGAGGCAATCAGTTCCAATGAGTTTAACCCCCACTGTACTATTACAAAATTGTTTCTGATATCCAACTCTTTGTTCCTTGTCCTGTCTCCTGGAGCAACTCTCAACAGTTCTGCTGCGTCTTTTTAGCCCTTCAGATGCTTTAAGACCATGACCATGTCTCCTGTAATTGCCTCCTCCCCATCCTCTTCTCTTCCTCAAGATAAGCATACCCAGCACCATCAAGTGAAGCTCCTGTTATCTTGTTTGCTTTGGAATGCTCCACTTGATCCTTCCTTAAACATGGTACCTATTACAGGAATCAGGATAGTTCTCCAGAAACTTCCATGAACATAAATAGGAACAAGAGAGATACTGACACACTGAAATGGCCGCCATGATAGACCCTGGATAGGAGACAGAGAGTACGGAACCTATTGCCAAGGGCCACCAGCACAAACTCTGCTTTTCTCTGCTTATGTTCCCCTCCTGTCCATGGACAATGGTGGCACTTGCACATTTGGGAGACTCCTGCTTTCCTACCTCAATATTTCCTGGAAATTAGAGAGGGGAAGACCTGTCATGAACAAAGCGGGGCCAGGTTTCTGCCCTAGGGAGGTCCAAGTGGGAGAGGTCCCTATCTGCAGGAGTCAAGCCCTCTGGGGAGGCAACTGGTGTTTCTGTCACTCGTTGTGCTCTCCCAAAGGTGGACTTCTTGCAGGAAGCTGGTACACGTCTCTCTTTCTCCCCTGAAGCCCAACTGCTTCCTTTTCCTCTGCAAGGGCCTTAAGAACAACTTTGAATTCTGAGATTCTAATTGCAGAAATACGCCCCACCCCGGAGTAGTATCAGCATGAGCTCAAATGTGTCCCACGCAAACGTGGTCCAGCACCTGTTCAGACCCTGGTCTCTCTTTCTTCCCCCATTAATTGAGAGGGGAAATTTGTTTCCTAGAACTGCCCTTGACCTTTGCTGTACAGTTTCCCTCCTTCCTCCTTCCTAACCTTCTTCTTCCTGCAGCTTCTCAGCAGAATTGGCTGCTCTCTAGCGGCAGGCAACCCCTTTGTTCATCGGCTAGACAGTTGTTCACCCCTTCCTGCCAGCTGCTCTTTCCTCTTGGCCCTCTTTCTTACTTGCTCAGAGAAGCCCTGGCTGAACCCTGAAAGAGCACTCAGCTCTGCACACTGGAGTGCAGTCACGGGGCCTCTCCTTTTTGGCCCTGATGGCCCTGATGGGGTAAAGGGGCCGCCAGTTGGATGGAGCTGGTCTGCAAGGCAGGACTTGGTGTCCTGAGGCAGAGCTCCATTGCACACTGATTGCACACAGCAAGGCCATTCTGCTCTTGCCTTATTCACATGCAGGATCAGATGTCACCGGTCTGCGAGTCTCTTTACTGGCGACAGAACAGTCACCATCTGGATTGTCTCACCTGAGGTCAATTTGCTGGTGCGGCTGCCTTTTGGCTCCCAGACGCAGGTGTTCATGAGGGAGGTTAGGAAACGCTGTGTTGCAGGTAGGAATTGCTGCTGCTGCTGCTGCTGCTGCTGCTAGAGGGACTTGGCGTGCATTTACTTCTACAGTGCAAAAAGGCCTCCCCCTCCCCCCAGGTCCCAGCACACAAGGCCGGCTGATTGGACAGAAGAGAGCCACAAATGGCAAACCGCCAAGCCATTAGAGTCACAGGGTACATGTGTTGTCTTCATTCAGCCTTATATCTTTTGGGTGCTGGTGCATAAGAACATGGAGATACGCAGAGAGAGGGTGTTGAGGCTGCCTCCCAAAAAGCCAATGCAGTCCTAAGCTGAACCAGCAGACGGACAGCATCAAGATCACGAGAAGTGATAGTGCTGCTTTATACTGCACTAGTGAGGTCACACTTGGATTATTGCATCCATTTCTGTCACCACGATACAAAAATAATGCTGAGGCCCTAGAAAGTGTGTACAGAAAAGCAACTAAGATGATAAGGAGTCTGGAGGCTGAATCACGATGAATAGTTAAGAGAACAAGGAAGTAAGTTTAGCGTAATGAAGGGAAGAATTGGGGTGATACAATAGCTGTTTTCTGGTATATGAGGAGCTACCACAAAGAGAAGGGAGTCAACTTATTTTCCAAAGATCCCGAAGATGGGACAAGAAACAACAGATGGAAGATCATTAAAGAGTGATCCAACCTAGAACTAAGGAGAAATTTCCTGCCCATGAGAACAATTAATCAAAGGAAAAGCTTGCCTCCTGGAATTGTAGGTGCTCCACTACTGGGGTGTTTCAAGAATAGAGTGGACAAGCGTTTGCCCGGGATAATATACAGTCTCCTGTCATGGGCAGGGAGTCGAATTAGAAGACCTCCAAGGTCCCTTCCAGCCTTATGATTCTATGTTGTTCTCAACCCCTTTATCTTCTTCAAATAAAATCAGAGGAGTCCTTTGGCCTTCGAGGAATCCTATCTCCCAAGTAGAATCCTTCCAATTTCAAGAGAGATCCTCCCCAAAGGCTCCCAGTCTGGAAATGGAGAAAGAAGGCACACTTGAGGGACAGGCTGTAGGCCTAGGTCTGGATGAAGTGCTCGGGGTTACATATCATCTCTTCATAAACCCACCTGAAGTATCTGCCTACCAGTTACTGCTGCCTCCCCAATAGTTCTGGGGCACCTCGTCAGATGTCACCTATTCACCTTGTCAGCAAAACAATGGGGTCCCACATCCCGTCCTGTCTTTCTGGACAATAAAAGATAAACATGGAGAAAATGAAATAGTTTCTGCAATGCAGCCTCCTGGCTTTGCCACAGGTGACCAGAGGTTTCAATTCTCCCGCACAAATGTTTAAAAATGCTGCCACATTAAAAGTTAGAGACATGAAACTCAATTTACAAAAATATAAGCAGTGGTTTTGCCAGACAAATGAATGGTATTGGTTCACTGTTCTGTATTCTGTACAGTGGTAGATTTGTCTTCTGTACAGATGTAGATAGATAAACTCAACAAAACATCCATAACAAAGTACTTTTATTGGTTCATCAGGTATCCTCATAACTCACATTTGTGATGAAGTTCTTCTTTAATGACCAATCCTTTGCATATCTGTCTTGTAGGTAAAAAGATGGTTATCTTCTATCCTTTTTCCCTCATCTCGTAGTGATAGAAGTAGAACAGTTACCCTGTAACATGATACCCTGCTCCTGTTCTTCTACCTCCTCCTGTGCCTGTTCTTCCTTTTTAATGGCTATTGATGATTTAACCATCTCATCTTTAGGGACTATTTGGGTGTTGATAACAACATCATTGTTGGATTTCTGTTCTAGTTTATGCCACCCAATATGCTCAAGAAATTTAGCACTAGTGCTACAGTAAATATTAGCTGTGCCTCGATCCCAGAATCTAAACGATCTATGGTTGGCCTCGTAACCTACGAAAAATAATTTCCTAGCTCTATGTTGCCCTTTTAGTCTTACTTGTGAGGGAATATGCACCCATGCTGGAGCTCCAAATGTATGTAGGTAACTTAAATTTGGTTTTCTGCCATGCCAACGAGTAAATGGCAATTCACCAGTTGTTGTGTTCACCACATTGTTTAACACATGGTTGCTACACATTATGGCTTCACCCCACAGTGTTTCAGGCAAACCTGAATCGGATAACATAGTGCGAGCCATGGCTTGTAACATTTGCCCCCTTCATTCTATAAACGAGTTATGTTGTGGCCTGTAAGGTGCAGAACGCTTATGCTTGTTACCAGCCAATTTTAATATTGTTTGGAATCTATTGTTGTTGTTTTTTAAACAAATTTTATTAATTTTTTGAAGACAAACAAAACATAAGACATAAAAGCATAAAACCTCCTTTCTAAAAGTTACTTATAGGTTTTAACAAGGCAAATAAAACATTTTATACAGCATAGTTCCACATTATCATATTTCCATTTAAGCACATATATATCTTTTCCAAATTTCTCATTATTTCTCCCTTCACTTTTATTCAATTATATTTCTTTCTATCAAGGTTT